TGGGCCGTGGCTGATTGTACACGAAGGTGCTGCTCCAGGAGGGGACTAGCAATTCTTAACTGAAGAAGATGGTATCTCATTGTGGCTTTTTTGATTTGCAAAATTTCTCCTGATGGTGAGTGATGATGAAAGCATTTTTTAAAATGTGTCTGTTGTCTTGTATGAATGTTTCTTCTTTTGAGACAGCGTTGGTCAATATCCTTTGCCCACTTTTTGAATGGGGGTTGTTTTTTCTTTGGTGAATTTGTTTTGAGTTCTTTGTAAAGAAGTTCTGGATATTAGCCTTTGGTTAAAGAATGAGTAGAATTGCAAAAAATTTTTCTACCAATTCTGTAGGTTGCCTGTTCTCCTCTAAATGGTTAGTTTTCTTTTTTCTGTACAAGAAGCTCTTTAGGTTTAATTAAGATTCCCATTTGTCATTTTGGCTTTTGTTTACCAATTGCTTTTCCGGTTTAAGATATGAAGTCCTTGCCCATGCCTAATGTCCTGAAAATGGTTTTAACCTAAGGTTTTCCTCCTAGGTTTTTAATAGGTTTTAAAGGTCTAACATTTAAGTCGTCGTAATCGATCTTGATTAAATTCTTTCAATATAAGGAGTAAGGAAAAGGATCAGTTTTTCAGCCTTTCTACCTTATGGCTAGCCAAATTTTACCCAGCAACCAATTTAATTAAAATAGGAAAATCCTTTCCCCATTTCTGGTTTTTGTCCAGGTTTTGTCCAAAGATCAAAGATGGCTGCAGCTGTGTGGTATTATTTCTGAGACTTGCTGTTGTCTGTTCGCATTGGTCTATATCTCTGTTTCGGTACGGGCAGTACGCATGCTGTTTTGGTTACTGTAGGCCATTGTAGTATAAGTTTGAAGTCGGTAGCGTGGAATGCCTCCCGGGGCTCTTTGTCTTTTGGCTTAGGATTTGTCTTGGCAATGTGGGGTTCTTTTTTGGTTCCATATGGAACTTTAGAGCAGTTTTTTTTCGCAGAAGTGCTGCGAAGAAAAAGTATTGGGTAAGGGCTTGAATGGGGAAGAATGGGCATTTGAACTCTATAAATTACCTCGACTTGGGCAGTTATGGCGCATTTTCAGCATATTGATTCGTTCCTATGCATCAGAACATGGTATGTTCTTCATTTGTTTTGTGCCGTCTTTTATGTCCACCTGAGCAGTCGGTTTGGCAGGGGAGCTGAAAAGCCCCAGAATAATAAGGTATGTCTTTTGGGTGAACTCAGAACGTGTGTGTGACCCTCGTTAGCAAACGGCCCCTTGGCTCAACTTTAAATGTAGGCCCAGTTAGCCACTCAGTATGCCTCTTGAAGGATTGG